CACACACACACACACACACACACACACACACACACACACACACACACTACATGGCCCCACATGCACCCTGTGACCCCGTGACTCAGGCTTGCTCAAGTTATTTAGAGTTCCTCTCTTCTACCTTATACTCACAACTAGCCCCAATCACATTGCAGGCCACACAGTGACCCCAGTGACCTGGGGTCCATCACATACACAATCACACACTCTGCTTGTCTCTCACACACAGGGCCCCTCTGTGTCGCCCGCTGGGCTCGGCGTCACCGCCCAGTGTCCCAGCCACACGTTCGCCCGGGCCAGGCCGCCTCATGCGCCGTGTCACCCACAGTCACGGGCTGACACCGTTCACAACTCCCCCTTCCCGGCCGCCCCGCGTTGCAGCCGCCCCGAGGCGCCGCCGTCCCGTCCCGCAGCCGGTGCTGGTGTCAGTCCAAGTTTCCCGGGCTCCACCGACCCCTCGGAACCCCAAGTTCCGCTGCTTCCTCCCGGGCACCTTCTGACAGACTGCGCAGGGAGCCGGGAGGACGCGCGCGCCGGGATGGGACGGGGACGGGGACGGGGCAGGAGAGTGGGGCAGACGCACCCGCCGCGCGGGAGAACTTCCTCCGAGCGGCGGAGCGGGGCCGCGATCGCCCTGCTTACCTGGCCGGCAGCACCAGCTCCCCTCGGCGTCCGACGCGGCGCCCGGGCCCCGCTAGGCGAGCGCTCCGGGCCGGCCGCGCACCCTGCGCGCCTTTTGAATGAATCGCCGGCCCGGCCGGGAAGCGGCGCGGCCCCGCCCCCCGCGTCACGGCCTCTGGCCCCGCCCCCGACGTCAGAGCCCGCACCTACGACCCCCGAGCCCCGCGCCCCTCAGCCGACCGAGGGCTCGCGGCCCGGCTCCCGGTTCTCCCGCCAGGCCACGCTGCTCTGCATCGCCACCTCTAGAGCCTCCTAGGAACTGCAGGGTTGCGCACGACGGCCCGGAGGCGCCCAGGATGCTTTTCGGATGCGCCCCTTGGGGCGGGGCTGGGGTGTGTGTGCTCCAAACCGAGAAACCCCGGCTTGGGGGGGATGCAGTGACTTGATCGACGCTCAGGTCCCATCACCATTACCTGCGTAACTAGGGCCACAGCTGACGCTTCCTGGGAATTTTCTTACTTTTGGAATTGTTTGCGGGTGGAAACGACCTCAGTGTCATAGATGAGGCTCAGGAATAAGAAAGTCTATGAAGAATGCTCACCTGAGTTCTCCTTTGGAACCTGGCCCAAATACCCCTCCCCCAGCGTAGCTGGTACCTCCCCCAAATAGGTAGGACAGGTGACCCTCCTGTCCCCTGGTGTCCCCTAACACCAGCTGTCCCACCCTTCCCTTCACCAATGCCAGCCATCAGAATGCCCCGTGGAGGCCAGGGTTAGACGTGTAATCCCAGGATTCAAGAGGCTGAGGCAGGAGGCTCCTCAACTGTAGCCTGCGCTACAACAAAGCCTGGAGACTTTGTTTCACAAACAAGCAAACAAACAAAAACAACAACAAAGAGTGCCCAGCGCTATGAGACATTGTTGTAGAAGTCAGGGCACTGTATGCATTGTATTCTGGCCTCTGTAAATCGTGCCCATGTGTGATACAGTGTGTCAGTCCTGCAAGTGGCAGCTCTGTTCACTCAGCCTCCTCCTCCATCCCCCCAGTACCATTCAAGGGATCCAAAGTAGCCAGGAGAGCAGGGCAGCAGGGAGGACCCAGAGCTGGGGACAGAGGTCGGGCTGGATAATCACAGCTCATGAAAGAGGTTGAGGAAGGTAAATAAGCCTGGTGGGAATAGATAGGCTGGGCTGGGATTCTAAACAAGCTCAGTCATAGAATCCGAGCCACAGAAAGGAGAGGAAAGGTCAGGTCCCCAGAGCCTGGGAAATTCCAGGAGGAGAACTGGACACCTGAGGGAAGAGAGGGACGGGAAGAGTTTCCATTTCCCTGGGCTGAGCCCAGGTCTCAGGGACAAGGCAGAAAAAGTTCCAGGTTACCGGTGTCAAAATCATGAGCCCAGCAGGCCTTGTGACATGGGTTTGTGATCCCAGAGCCGTGGAGGCAGAGACAACCAGATCTCTGTGAGTTGTGGGCCAGCCTGGTCTACATAGTGAATTGCAAGCCAGCCAGGGATACAAAGTGAGACCCCAGTAGATTCAGTGTCAGTTGTGTCCCCCAAGTCTGGGGACAGGGGCTATTCCAGGGCCCCACATCACAGTCAGGAAACCGCGGTGGGGAACAGTGAGGTGCTCAAAGCAGCCTGGATGTCCTCTACCTCTGATTTCTTTTGTTTTCTCTTTTTGAGACATAGCCCCTCTACGCAGCCCTGGCTATGTGTGTAGACCAGGCTGACCTCACGCTCACAGAGACCCGCTCACCTCTGCCGCCAGCATGCTAGGATTAAGGAGTGCTCCACCATGCCCATCTTTCTAAATTTTATTTTGCTTTAATTATATTATATTCTCTGTGTATAGGCATGTTGCCTGCGTGTATGTCTGGGTACCATTTGAATGTCTGGTGCCCAAGGAGGCCAGAGGAGGGCATCTGAAGTTATACATGGTTGTTAACCTCATGTCAGTGCGAGAATTGAACCTGTTCCTCCTCTGGAAGAACAGTCAGTGTTCTTAACCCCTGAGACATCTCTCAAGCCTTTATTTCATTTTCTTCGTTTATTAAACCGGGTTCTAGAACTCCAATCACCAACAGCTTGCCCACGGACCCAGCTCTCAGCCCTTTTTGAAATGTTTTCTCGCTATCAGGACATGCTATCTCCCACTTTTCAAATTCCAGATGTTGGTATTGCAGGTCCCACTCACTAGTCCAATAAGGATGTAGGCTTTGTACTCACAACTGGTCTGACTTTCCCAAGAGAGCCCGGGCCCATCTCTATCAACTCTCTGGGAAGCTTTGGTCACCCTGAAAACCGGGGCACCCAACCTATTGCCAGAAGGTCACTCTGAATTTCTGTGGGCCATCTTCACAGCGTGCACTCCCAGGAGGACACGTGTCCCGTGTGTCCCGCTCCTGCCCCCTTGGTTCTCAGGAGCCTAATTATTATTTACTGCTGGTTGGACTTGCTGGCTCCTTGTCCAGCTGACTATGACTCCCAAGGCTTTCCAACAGGAGCCCTCCCCAGGAGTCTGGAGCCGTTCTGCAACTAGGAGACAGAGGGTGACAGCCACGCATTTGGGACTGGTTCCTTATGTCTCTTGGAGAGTTACTCAACTTCAGAACAGACTCAAAATCATAGGTTCTGTAAAATCCGGGCCGCTCAGGTGACCTCACAGTCTCCCACAGTGCACCTGGAGACGGCCGGTGCTCCCGCGTTTCATCGTAGGTACTATAGGACTGTAAGATCGCAGTAGGTCAGAACGTGTTTTCATAGCGACCCATAGGCAGGAGCAGGGTTAGGGGTGCCAATCCTTGCTAGGCCTGCTGAGGTAGAAATCCTGGGTCACACTTTCAGAGCTACCAGAATAGTTTTGAGAAGTCTTTGAACAGGCGCCCCCTGCTGGCTATCCCGGAAATCCAGTGGGAGTACTGTCATCTCTGCTTTTCCAGTTTCAGAACTGCAGGCTGCAAAAAATTGCAGATATTCAAGTCCCTTGTATAAAACGCATAGAATGCATGTGTGCAGCCTGTCTAATTCTTTCCTATACTTTAAATTCTCTTCGGATTACTTGAAATACACAATACGACACAAATGCTATGAAAACAGTTATTATTATTATTTAGGGACTAATTACAGGGCAGAGTTTGGACCTGCTCAGGACAGATGCAAGCATTGTGGGTCTAAAATTTCCACCCACCAGGTATGGCGCCACATACCTTTAATCTAATCGCAGCACTCAAGAGACAAAGGCAGGAGAATCAATGTGAGTCTAAGCTCAGCCTGATGTATATAGTGAGTTCCAGGACACCCAGGACTACATAGAAAGACCCTGTCTCAAAAAACTAGAGCAACAGTAATAATAATGATAATAATAATAAAAATAAAATTTCCATCCATAGTTGGTTGAGTCTGAAGATACAAAAAGGCTACCACTAAAGTTTCAGGCTTAAGTTTATTTATTTATTTATTATTTATTTATTTAATGTATATGGGCATTTTGTCTGTGTGTATATCTGCATACCAGGAGAGGGAATCAGATTCCATGGGACTACAAACAGTTATAGACAGTTTTGACCCACCATGAGGGTGCTGGGAATTGAACTCAGGACCTCTGGTAGAGCAGCCAGTGCTCCTAACTGTGAAACCATCCTTCCAGCCCACAAGCTTAAGTTTCAATGCTTAGGCCCTGTCCTACCTTACCTGGCACGCCTTAGATCCTGTAGGTGTGTGTAGATCAATGGGAGGGGCTCAGACCAACAGAGAAGTAGGGCTAGGTAAGGCCAGGGCCCAGCACTAGGCCAGGGCTGACTGGGGTTGAGGACTCACTTGGCTCAGCCTACATCTAGGTCTAGACCCAGGCCAGGGCTGGAACCCATTGGGTGGGACTGTGTCCCGACTCCGGCCTTACCGACTCCCTCAGAAGCTCAGCAGTCTCAGTTAAGTGTCTTCTCTGGTCTGGGGCCTACTGGCTCACCAGACTTGTGCTTAGGAAGAAGAAGCTGAGGGCCTCTTTGTCCCTGGGAGGGGCCGTCTTAAGAGGACTCTGCAGCAATGAACTTGCTGACTGTCGGCCGTGGGGCTGGTGGGGTTAGGTCTACCTCGGTCAGATTTGCAGCCCAGTTACATGGACAGATCAAGGGTCATGAGGTGTCTGGCCAGGCCTAGGAGGCAGGTAGCTTTGCTGAAGTTAAGCAGCCTAGAGGAAAGGAATTAGGGGGAGTTGAGGAATACAGGCTTTGGTGTCACGTGGATAAAGATGAAGTCCTAGCTCTTCAGTGGTGGGCTGGGTCGCCTTAAGCATGTGACTCTACTTCTCTGAGGATACCATGTGAGGATACCATGTGAGGAACATCAGCTTCCAGAGGGCCACTGACGTTTGGAGCCCCAGTCTGCCCCCCGCCCCTAGCCACTCAGCACTCGCTCTGGACGCCTCTCCGCAGCATCTGGGGCTTCTGCCTGCGTTCATCTCCGAACCTGCTCCCTGGCCCTCTCCACAGCTCTGTCCTGCACTCCACCCCTGGCCAGCCTTGGATGCCTGTCTGCTTGCTTTTGCCCAGCAAGGCTCCTCACTGGACATAATTGGGCCCAAAATAGCACTTCCCCTTGCCACTTCCTGCAACCATCTTGTGGCTTAAGGACAGAGAGAGATGGAGAGTTGGTGTTTGGCAAGTGTGCAAAAGATGTGAAGGACTCTCAGAGGTCAGCGGGGTGTGCAGAATCAAGAATTCACCTCCAGGTCCCAGTGAGCAGAGGCTCCAGGGCTGGAGCTTGCTTTCTGCTCCTTAGGTACCCTCATCCCCTCCCCAGGCCCAGCTCAGGACTAAGAAGGTGCCTTGGCCAGAGTTTCTGTTCTCCTGCCAAGATCCCTGGACCTATAGACTAGTGTGCTGAAACGTGCTTCAAGTGGGAGACCGATGAATCTAGCCTTCCGTCTCCTCTCATTTTGAGGAACATTTCCTGACTTTTCTGATCATGAGAAACCCTCGTGCCTAGAGTCTATTCCCTAGTGTCAGTCCTGCCTTTCTGTGTCATCGCTACTAAGTCCTGGAGGCAGTCTAGCTAAATCCTGACCTTTGTCTCTAGCCCAAGGCATCTGCAGAAGCTGCTCCTTGAAGGGATAGTCCTTGGCTCTGCCTCGCCCCCTCCTCTGGGATCAACAGGAGTTGCTTCTCAGAGCAGTTTGAATGCGAGCCCTCCATGTGACCACAGGTGGCTCTGTGGGCCACCTCCCTCTCTCCCATGATGTATCAAGACCTGAGCATGTGGATCCAGTTCTGATAATAGTCAACAACCTTCCAGGGCCATCCTAAGAATCAGAGGAGGGGCTGGAGAGATGGCTCAGCTGGTAAGAGCACTGTCTGTGCTTCCAGAGGTCCCGAGTTCACACGGTGGCTCACAACCATCTATACCGGAATGTGATGCCCTCTTCTGGCATCCAGGCGTACATGCAGAGAGAGCGCTCCTACATAAAATAACAATTAAATAAAATCTTAAAAAACTAGAGAAGCCCAGCTGTGGTTTTCAGCAAGCAGCAAAAGGAAGCTGAGTTTACTTGTTCTCTTGTATGCAAGACCTACGGCTCAGGCATGTAGCCCTGGCATGAGCAACAGCCTGGGTTTGATTCCCAGCATTGCATAAAAACCAGTTGTGGCGGCCCACACTTCTAATCCCAGCATTCAGGAGGTAGAGGCAGGAGGATCAGCAGTTCAAGGTCATCCTCAGCTACAGACTCTGTCTCAAAAAGCAAAAGAACATATGGCTGTATCTCAGCCGGATTCTCCAACATTTATTTCATCAATCATGAATTCAACATCTATTGAGCACTTACTGTGTGCGCCCCACAATGCCTGGGAGTGAAGCAGAGAACATGCCCTGCCCCAGAGCATCCACCCTGGCTCTCTCACCTTCCCCTCGCTCTGCCTGGTCTGTGCAATGGGCCCTCCACACCAGGCTCTTGCACGCTCCTTGCGTGTTCCTTCCTCACACCAAACTCTGCTCCTATTTCCCTTGAAGGCATCTCTCTCTGCTGTCTGAGAATACCACGCCCCGTGGCGTCTCAAGCCCGGATGGCCAGGAGTGTAAGAACTGATGGGGTGGCGGACGCCTCTTGACTTTTCCATTCGTCCACTGAGCCATACACTAGTTTGTCTGCTTCCTCATACAAATGTTATACATCAGTGGCTTCCTATGAAAATACTAATACCTGGGTCCTACCTAAGGTTCCAATTTAACTGGCCTTCAGTGGGCCTGTGCGCCCAGAGAACTACAGTGAACAGCCCAGGCTGTAAACCATGTTTTAGAGGAGGTAATTCTTCTAGGGGCCTCCCCTGGGGGAGAGCCTGAGGCCCTTTCCCTCAAGGCCTCCTTATTCGCAGCGCGCTGGCACAGGCTGAGCACCTGACCCCGAAGGGCGCCTCGCCTCAGGACAGCCCATGTCCTGGAAGGTGGTCTCCTAAGTGGCAGTGCGACGCGCCATCCCTGCTCTCACTGGAGTGCCTACTGGGAGGATGGCACAGACCCTGCCCTGTGTATCTAGTGCTGAAAATGAAGTCTGCTTTGGGCTTCTGGAGGGGACAGAAATTCTGGGGCAGCAAAAATGGCTAACGTATGGTAGCTACTGACAGAAATGCGATAACTGGACTAGAGGCGGGGAGGTAGGCGCCTGAGGAGGGCCTTCAACGTCTAGATCACCGGGCCCCAGCTCAGGCCTCCAATAGCAGGCACCCTTTTGATTTCAGGGCCAGAGTGAATCTCCTTACATTCCAAGAACTGTACGTACTAGCCAACCATCCTGAAAGGGAGAAGGGATCATCAGACCCCTTTACTGAGAAGGAAGTAACTCGACCTGGTCACATGGCTGGTGAGTGTCAGTCAAGATCCCAAACAGAATCTGTTCAAAGCCTCTGTTCCTTCCATCTCAATCTGATCCCACACGAACACAACTGGCTCCTCACAAACGCCATGCTAGCAGGATGTCCTCTACTCGGCCCATGGTGCTGAAGACCCGGCAGACCCCTGAGGGATGAGTCCTTCCTTTCTTCCTTCCTTCGTGGGTCTGTCAAGGTCTTGCCATGCAGACTAAGTTGTTGGTTTTGCTTTGTTTTCAAACAGGAGATGGGTGGTGGTGATGGTCCACATAGCACCGGCTTATCTAGAGCTTGCTGGGTAGACCAGGCTTGCTTTCAACTCAGAGGTTAACCAACCACTGACTCCCAAGTGTTAGGATCATAGGCATATGCCATCATGCCTGGCGCAAGCTGATTTGGAATTCGAGATCACCCAGCCTTGGCATTCCCGCATGCCAAGCATACAGTCCGCAACTGAACTACCTATTCAGTGCAGAAACAGATTTTTTAAATTAAGAATTTATTATTTTGTGTGTAGGGGTGTTGTTTTTTGTTTTTGCCTGCATGGAGGTCTGTGGCCATGTGCACGCACTGGCCCTGGAGGCCAGAAGAAGGCATCTGATCCCTTGGGGTTGGGAGTTAGATGGTTGTGAGCTGAGGATGCTGGGGATTGAACCCAGGTCCTCTGGAAGAGCAGTCAGTGCTCTTAACCACTGAACTGGATTTTAAGACCTGCCCTTTGTTGTGAGGGCGCCTCGAGTCCCGTGGGGACACCATGGTGTCCTTTCAAAGTGGTGCCATGTTGCTGGCATTTGCATTCTCTGCAGTCTAGTTTAATGGCACACCGCTTTGTACCAGAACCAGCCAGAGCTTGGCTCTAGTTCTGCTCCGTAGAAGCCTTAGGAACTCTTCTGCCCTGGCTCCTTGCCTGCAGCGTGTCTGCCTCAGACGTCCAAGCCTAAACCTAGACTGGCTTGACGTGGAAGCTCTTGATTGATACACTATTGATATGCATATGATTTGTAGGGATTCTAACATTCAAAATTCCTTCCTTCTTCTAATGAGAAGACTGAAGCCCAGACAGCTGCAGCGACCTGCCCATGACAACACAGCAAGTCAGCGCCAACCCCATCCCCCCAACGCCCTTCTTTACCTCCTCCCTTAGCCCAAATGAGTCAGTCAGAAAGCCCTCATCCTTGGGGAGACAGAGCCCTGAGGTGGCTGCCAGTAGGCCTTTATGCCCAAGGCCAGCGGGGGAGCCATCATTTGGTGTTTCTATTTATTGACTCTTTAAATTTCATCATCTGAGGAGAGTTAATACATGACTGTTTGGTAGCAAGAGAAATGTAATGTAAGACCTCAATGACCCACCCACCCCAAAGAAAAAAATCAAACAGAAGAGACAAACCCTATCTGAAACCAGACCTTTGGAGTTGTAGCTGAAGCAAGGGCTGAGGGTTAGGTGGCTCCCTGTAGCCTGGTGGTGAGGGAGAGACTACCAGAGGTAGAAGCCTTCCCAGCTGAAAAGGCTACGCCTCGCCCCTCAACTCTGGAGGGGGAGGGGTGTCCTTCCCGAAGGGGCCACCCCTGGCAGGGTGGGGTGTTTAGAGAGGGATTCAGTGGTCAGAGAAAGGGGACTCATAGGTCCACCCCCAAGGTGACCATTGTGCCAGTGCATAAGACATGGGGAGGCAGGAGCTGGGGCTTGAGCCAGCTGTGAGGAGTGAGGGCCCTTGTCTCTGACCTGAGAGCCCTGTCCCAGACCCACCAATGTTCCCACAGAAAGGAACCTCAGGTACCACCAACACTTTGGACATGCTAAATCCCGGGAAGCTCCTCAGTGAGAGAATCATGGTCCTCCAGTCATCTTGTCTGAGGGCACATGAGCAAAGTTTGCTTCTGGATTAGGATGGGCGGGCCCGTCAGGGAGGGCTGGAGTCTGTTAAAGGACAGTGTCTTAGTGCCCTGAATATGCGTGTGAGCGTGTTGAGTGCCTGTGTGTGTGTGTGTGTGTGTGTGTGTGTGTGTGTAATGGATGGGCATTGGTCCTTCCAGGAAAGCTCGGAACACCCGGGATTCCAGGGTGGCCTCTCAGGCAGGAACAGGCTCTTATCCTCCTGTCACTTCTCACATCATGTCCTGCCCCAGGTCACTGCATAAATAAGTGCTTTGGAAAGTATTCGTCTAAACAGTAACATAAATACTGTACACAGGAAAGGCTGCTGTCCCTCCACCTTCCCACTGCCCCAGAGAACCCTCCACATATTGCACGTGGGGTCCAGCCCAGTGGGGTCCAGGCCCTGCTGTGTCTTTGGTCGAAGCTTCAGGGACAGAGGTCCTGGCAGCCCCCACACCTTCACCCTGGTCCCAAACGGGAGCACTAGGGCAGTCAGTGGGTAAGGGAGGCCTCGGCCTAGCCGGCGGTCCCTGCGTGGACTCTCTGCTCAAGGTCTGCGAGTGGCCTGGGAGAGGCAGGCAGGCTGAGGGCAGCGACAGCTGAGTCCTGGGCCACAGGGGCAGGCTCACACCCTCCACAGGAGCAGGTGGTTCGTGCTGTCGTCCCGGCCCACCGTCTCACCACCGCCGCCGCCGAGCCGGAAGTCCTCATAGCCGTCACCACCGCTGATGACCAGCATTTTCGGCTTGGCTGAGGTGGGGCCTCGGTGCCGAGGGGAGTCCCGGTGATCCAGGGATGGCAGCTTCTCGGGGCCTGGGGAACAAAGGAGGCAACTTGTAGCTTCATGTCCTATCACGGCTTGACCATCTCATCCCAGAAGGTAAGACACACACACACACACACACACGTGCGCGCTCATGCTTGCTGTTAACCAAGAATTTCCATATGGGAAGAAAAAGGCAGTCACGATTCGATTCTTGTCTCCTCTGTGTGTGTAAACACGCACACACGTGCATTTATGCTCTTTCTGTTTGTGGTAAAGATACATATTCATGTGGATGTGTGTCAGTGTACATGCATGTGTGTGGAGGTCCTTGGGTGAACGCCTTTTTCTGGTTCTTTAGAAACAGGATCTCAAGTTGTGGCCCTGGCTAGCCTGGAGCTTCTTGCTCTGAAGATCAGGCTGACCTACTTTAAAAAACAAAAACAAAACAGGGTTTCTCTGTGTAGCCCTGGCTGTTCTGGAACTCCCTCTGTAGACCAGGCTGGCCTTGAATTCACAGAGATCCCTGTGCTAGGATCAAAGGTGTGTGGCCGCCTGGCTATCCCTTGTTTCTTAAAGGGATTTTTAAAGATTTAGTTTCCGTGTATGACACGTGCACCCTGCACGCAGGGCGTCTGCACAGGTGCTGGGGATGTGAGCGCAGGCTCGCCCTGCAAGCGCTTCACAGCCACCCCAACCTGTGCTAGCTAACCAGGAATGACGCTAATACCCAGCACTCCCGTCTATCCAGTACTGACATGTAAGGGCCTCTTTATCGTAATTACACAATAACGTTGTTTTGGTCCATGAAACTGAAAAATCCTATCACCTAGGGAAGCTGTGGTCACCTTACTGGCAACAAGTCACACTGCTCCGTGTGTGGGGTCCCGGCGTAAACAGCCCTGCTGTGCAGTCGGCCACGTGGATGTGTGACACATTCATTTATGTGCAGAGCGTGTGAATGCAGTATAGATGTTACTGATTTATTCATTTTCTTTCTCTCTTTTCTGGGCTTTTAAATTTTGTTTGGGGATTGATGCCAGAGCTATGAACATCTCGCGAGTTTTTCTTATAACAGGAATATGCTAAGATTTTTAGCTGTTCTGGAGTATTCAACTATACATTAAAGAAACTATACATTAAGAAAGAGTTTACTAGCTGGGGGGCGATGGTGCACGCCTTTAATCCCAGCACTTGGGAGGTAGAGGGAGGTGGGCCTCTGAATTTGAGGCCAGCTTGGTCTACAGAGCAAGGTTCCAGGACAGTTAGGGCTACACACACACACACACACACACACACACACACACACACACACCTTCACCTATGGGCTCGGCAGCCTATTTCTTGTGACAGGCCCCATTCCTAGCTCTCCGATTTTCCACCCTCTTGCAGCATCCCCCCGCAGAGCCCCCTGGACGGGAGCGGGACGTGCAGACCCACCTGTGTCTGGGGGCGGCGGTGGGGTTGAACAGAGAAGGTTGAAGCCGTCGGGCAGCTGGACTGCGGCCAGGAAGCGGACGTGGCCGGTGTGGCCCTGGCCCAGGCCGGCCGGGCTGAGAGGCGCCCGGGGGCAGCTGACGGTGCTCGGCGAGGTGGGCAGGGTGAGCACCACCCCAGCACTGGTGCCTACCCACAGCAGCTCCTCACAAACCAACAGCGCTGTGATCCTCAGGCAGGCCGCCTTGTGCTGCCGGATGATGGCGTCGGAGCCTGGGGAGAAGACAGCATCATCGGGCTTGGAGGCCGAGCCCGTCCAGGCCTCCCCCAGGATGGAGTGGTAGGTCGGTACCTGCCAGCATCCTGTGCACAGGAGGGGTGACATCTACCTCCGCCAGCTGCTCAAAGGTGTCTGGGTGGTAGAGACAAACATGGGCGCTACCTTTCAAGGTCACCCACACACCCAGGCTGGAGTCCGCCATGCAAGCCACGCTCCGGCTGGAGTCCTGCCCTATGTGGAAGGTGTGCTGTAGGGGAGAAGGACAGGAAGCCGGCGGGAGTAGGCAGAGCTGCTCCACCACGGCCCATCCCACATGTAGCTCCCACAAACCTCTCTAGATACCTGCCCGACTGACAGCTGAGGCAGGCTGGGTCCTCGGGATGATAAATTTCAAAGTTTGCCCACCTGATCCTCCCTAAGTGAAAAGGGTGGCCTTTCCCCATGCTTGACTAAAGCTCGTGTGGCTGTGAGACCAGTCAGCAGTCTCTCCCGGGTAGGCAGGAAAGCGTTAGCAGAGGGGAAAAAGTCACATCCTAAGAAGGCCTATGGCCGTATATCAGGCTAGTCATAGAGCGAGGGCCTGACTCCAGGCTTTAACCTTCATCTCAGTCAAGGAAACCTATGGGTTTCCAGAACCAGCCTAGGTTCTCCCAGGTTGGAAGCTTACAGTTCATATGTTAACAAAGCAGGACTAAAGATCAGAGGTCTACAGTAAGAAATGCTGACAACAGGAAGGACCCTCTGTCCCCGCAAGGACCCCAGTATTGCGCTGAGAGGGGCATGAGTGAGGAATTCAAACATATGTGGAAATTTGCTGTCTTTCTCATCAGCTAGAGTAGAAATGAGGGCCAGGGAAGGACAGAGAAGGCTCAGGGAAAGGTCCTAACCCTCAGCTGATCCTTCTCTGTTCCCCTGGTCTCATCTCCCTCTCCTGTGACCCCGCTCATCCCACATCAGTTCTGTCCCCACCCCTGCTACCTCCAGCTGCAGTGTTTCAGGGCTCAGGACAAGGACCCGGTTCTGGCAGCCACACCATAGCCGTCCACCCACAGACACCATCTTGGTGATGGGGCTCCCCTGAGCACCCAGGGTCATCGATTTGAAGTTCTGGGGGTCCCAGAAGCGCCCTGGAGAAGGAATGGGGTAAAAACAAAGGTTCAGTGCAGGCTCTAATTTAAATGCCAGCCTTCTCTGAAAAGAGAGAGATGTGGACGCTCCCATTTATAAGAGAAGATGTGGGGGCCTTGAAACTGCCCAACGCCTCAGACAGATGTAGGCCCGCCTGTGGGCCAGAAGTTCCCATTTGCCTAGAGGGCTCACTGGCCACCAAGGGTGAGAGAGGGGGGTTGTGGGGGGGCACATACCCGCTTCCCTCTGGTAGACTACAAGCTCTCCATTGGCCAGAGACACAAACACCTGGTCATTCAGATACCTGAGAAAGGAAATAATGAGGTGTGTCCAGGGGCTGAAGCAGCATTCCGGGCCAAGGGGATCACAGGCTCCCAGGAGATCACCTCCTTTTAGTTTCTACTCTCGCAGTTGGGAGAACCTGAGGCTGAGGAGCCCCAGCGACACACCCAAGCTAACCGTGTGGAAGGCGCGTGGCTGGCCTTGGTCCAGGCCTCGCTTCTGCATGGTCCCCAGAAGAGGGGCCAGCAGGGCAGGGGAGATGCACAGAGGGAGCCTATATGACGGCCAAGAAGATTCTGGGCGGGAAGGGCAACGGGGCTTACAGGATGCAAGTCACGGAGGCTGCGTGCTGGAGCTTCATGCTGTTCCTGCGGTCACGGATGCTGTCGGAGGACTGGTAGACGTGGACACTGCGGGTTAGGGAGCATCTGTCACAAGCCGTCAAACCCAGCAGCCCCACGAGTCATCGCTCACGTCTCTGCCTCCACCTCCCTTCCCCTCCACCGGGCGCCAACACAAGGTACTAGCTTCTCGTGGGTTTCAGGGTCCTCTGGCATCCCCAGCTGGCAGGACCCCTGAGACCAGAACCATGGTACGACATGGGTTCCAGAGCTGTGTCCCAGACCGTTCCCTGCCCCTACCAGCCATCCTCAGTGCCCAGCCACACGGAACTCTGGTAGGCCTCGGGGTCCACGCTCAACAGGTCCTCAAGGCTGCCCCTTGTGAAGGAGCCACGGCTGGAGCGGCGAAGGGCTCTTCCGTCCATGGGGCTGGAGCCACAGGGCCCACCTGGCCCAAAGGAGCCAGACAGTGACAGGAAGCCAGGCTCTTGCTCTTCCTCAGAACTGGTTGTCTCCGCAGTGGCCTCCTTGGAGCTTGGGGTCTCCTCATCTGCAGGGACAAAGATCTCTATCCCTATTCCCCTCTACCAGGCACAGATCTGACATCTTCCTAGGCCTCCCTGGTCCCTCTATCTGCTAAGGCCTTTCCCCTGCTCACTCTCAGCACACACCACAGGTTCCTTGTCCTCACCTGGCCATCTTGAGTCCAGCCACACCAGGATGGAGGGACTATCCGCTCCACCCGATGCCCACTAACGGTGCACTCCAAGGTCTCCAGGACCCCACCTATCTTTCCCTCTGCCCCTCCCACCCTGGTAGACGCTAACCTAGTGAACGGACTCCTGCCTTTGGCGTCTCCCCGCTCACTGCACTCTCATCCCCACCCACACCCACACTCACTGCCAAAGCTGGAGGAAATGGTAGACTGGCTGGCCTGGCTCTGCAGTGTCCCGGAGGGGCTGGGTGAAGATTCCTCATCAGAGTCACTGTCAAAGGGCACCAGCTCGGGCTGGGGGTCACCCTTGGCGGGGCCTGGATCCATGTCCAGGCCAGACCCTGAGATGGATATGTGCAGGCAAGGCTGAGGCCCTGGCTCCGCCAGTGTTGCTGCTTCCTCGTCGGCTGCGGCCTCGACATCCAGGTCAGGCCCAGCGGACTCCAGGGCGGTCCCCCGCGGGCTCCTCGAGGGCTCTGGCTGCTCTCTAGATACAAATGGGACAGGAGCAAGAGCTGCCACTAGGAGGCGCCCGAGACAGCACCCACCCCGCCCCCGCCCATGGACTACGCATCTACAGTCCCCGCCCACTTCCCGGCCCCGCCCACCAACCCCCCTGTCAAACTCAGTGAGTACCGAGACGAGGGCTGGCATCCTAGGCTCTCCACCAGGGCCTTACCTAGGGCATCGAGGCTGCAGGCCTGGCACGGCTCCGATGCAGAGAATCCGGGCGGAGCAAACGGCGATACAGGCCTCCACATCTGGTTCGGCCCTCAGGCTCAGCAGGCACACCTGACCCACGTAGCCATCACTATTGCACACCCACACCTCCGGCGCCGGCTCTGGGCAGCCGCTGAGGGTGGGGGCGGCGCACGAGAACTGCGGGAAACCCCGGTGGACCGGGGAAGGCGAATGTTAGAATGGTGCCAGTGCCTCGCTCTACCGCGGACCCCAGCAGAACGGAGAGAGCGCTGGCGGGCCTGCCGTGCATCGCCACGCCACGCTGCGTGTCACGTGCACTAGGGCCACCCAAGCCTGTACGCACACATACATGTACCCTGCCTGAACAGGGCCGTGAGTGTATGCGTCTAGTTAAAACGTGGTGCTGGTACTGTCGGTTAGGTATGAAGACTCACACAGCTGTGTGAGATGGGCTTCAGATCCACAATCTTTGTTCATCCGCACACACCTGCACACACACGACATTCGGGCAGTGTGCGCACATGCACAGACCCAGACACAGGGAGAACCGCAATGCTGACGATACATGGGCGGGATGGCGCAGAGAACAAAACTTCACGCACACGTGGCTTTCGACGGATGCACCCTCACGGCCCACACGCACACACACCTGCATGCCGCTTCGGGTTTTCATGATAGGGATGGCCTTCAGGAACTCGGGGTCTAGACAGCTTTTACTGGATGCTGCAGCAGAGGAGACAGGGCAAAGGAAGACACACCCTGCTTAGCACCCACCTTACCCTGGCTCTGCTCCCACCCTTCCATCTCCGCCCGTCTGTCAGAGTCCCCCTAGGGAGGGCCTGATGTCAACTCTGCCAGGGGTTATACCCTGCTTGCACTTGGCCTCGGTTTCCCTTCTGTACAGGAGGGAAAAGAGTCCTGGGTCTCTATGTTAGAGACTCAACAACTTTCCAGGACTCAAGTCCATACTGAGGAAGAGGAAGGTCTTGGTTGTTCAGGCCTATGCTGGGGTCCCTGTCCTAAACGGACTCTGTCTGGGAGCCCCTGGCCTGCCAGGGAGGGGCTGGGAGCCAGAGCTAACGCAGGTCTAATCCGCCCTTCCTATCAGCAGCTGGAGTAAAGGAGACCGCAGTTCAGGAGTTCTGGCTGTGAGAGAAGACACCAGCATGAACTGGCTCACCCAGCTTCCTTTTGGCCTCATCGAAGGCCTGCTCAAAGCCCAGGCGCGCATCGGGGTGGGGAAACTCGAAGATGAAGGAGTCGGTGCCCTCCGGCCGGGTGGCACACAGCTCCAGCTTGGTGGGTGGGAAGGCAAGAGAGTAGCACAGCGCCTGCTTTTCTGACAGGTCCCGGTGCATGGCGGCAGAGAGATCCCTCAGTGCGTCGTCCAGACTCTGAGGGAAAAGAGCCCAGGCCTCAGGCCAAGGTCTCACCGCACCTGGGAATATGAGGACCTGCTTCTCTCCTCAGACAGTGGAAGGATGGATACCTCCACCCGCCACAGACAGGGATGAGCCTCGCCCTGCCTCAGATGTCTCCTCCCTCAGACTTGGGACCTGTCACTTCCCTTAAGTGGGAGCAAGACTGTAATTTTCCTCTTCAGATAAGTGACAGGACCAACTGCTCCCTCAAGCAAACGCCAAGACTGTCTCTCCCTCAGACAAGGTCAGGGCAAGTCCCAGCCCGACTCTGCCTTAGTTCGGAGCACAGACCTGGTGGGGGAAGCCGAGGCTCTCAGAAAGCTTGTTCATTTGACCCAGGGTGGCCAGGTCCTCATCCAGGCGGCTGATGGCCTTCTGGATGTTCTCCCGATTGGTAGTTTGTGACGCCCCTGGCAAAGGCAGAGGAAAAGCCGTGGACACATAAGACAAGGTCAGGCTTGGACAGACACTCTTCCCTTACTGCACAGCCTGCAGCTGGACACGGGACAGGCCTGGCAGACGGACAGCTTCCAGACCCAAGCTCAGAAACAAGGTTAACAGGCAGCTTCCAGAAAAGACCCAGGCCCGGGAGCAGGGGCTGGGCCCGGTTTAGAGCCACGAGGCCAGGAACTCCCAACTCTGGAGAGCGTGCTAGGAGAGTGAAGACGGCTCAGGAGGTTATATGAGCGACAGCAGACGTGGGGGGATGCAGCATGGTGTGGCCTCATGGGGGACTTGCCAAATAGACATGTCCTCCTTGGCAGTCCAGTTTGCTGACTGAGGGACCTGCCTCCCTGGAAAGGAGGGCACGCTGAGCTGGTTCCCGATTGCCTGGTCTCCTCCCACAGCTGACCATTCCGAGTCATTAGCCTGACAGGCCACCTCACTGCCTGGGGGGTATGAGCTCTTTCACCGAGTAGCCCCCAAGGGACCTTCACTGCTAGGCTGTATTGAAATCAAGGGACAGGAAGCCTTTTTTCTCTTCAGTCTTCCTAAGTGACAGGTTTGCTGTCCCCTCTGCTGCTGTTTATCCAGTGTATTGGTGTCATAGGTCACAGAACGGTGAGACCAGGAGGTCATGACTGCACTCCAGGAAGAAGGGGTTCTGAGACTGGCAAGTGTTGTCTGGAAGGGTCCTGTGGGCAGGGAGCCCACGGAGACATGGGCAGCCTGCGGGGGAGGGACACGGAGCTGGCAGGAAGATGCAGCCACACTGAGACACAGGAGTACACAGAGGTGCTGCTCCAGACAGGGGCATGTGCAGAGCAGCGCTGTGGCCTCAACAAGCCAAGCCTTGGGATACTCGGCCATAGTTGAATGCTTGTGTCTCTACACAGATTATACCTGAAAATTCCTATCAAATGTTGGTATAGGAGGTGACAAGGTCATATAGGTGGTGTCCTCATGGGAGGGATTGAGTGGGATTCATGCCTTTAACCCCAGCAGAAGGCAGAGGCAGACAGATTTCTGTGCGTTCAAGGCCATCTATACGACAATCTACACAGTGTGGTCCAGGCTAGTCAGGGCTGTGTCTGAACAAAACAACCTGAGACAGCTTGTTTAACCCTTTGACCTGGTGATGACACACAGGAGGAGCAGACCCCTCAGCAGACACCAGTCTGGCCTGTGTCTTTCCCTGGAATGCCCCAGGACTGGGAGCAATACATGCCTGTGTACACACTACCAGGTCTTTTTTGGTTTGGTTGTTATTGTTACACGGACCCAGATCAAAACAGTCTCCTATTGCTTCAAAACAGCACTCCTACCCCAAAGCCACGCTTTCTTCCATCACAATCCTGCTTTATTCCTGGCCACACAGTAGAATGGACCAGGAGCAGGCCCTTCTGTCAACTGGTCTGTTCGCCAGAGAGCAGAGATGAGGTGGACTCCGTCCTCACTAGGGGACCCTGTGGGACAGCGTGGTTCATCTGAGGCCACCTCTCAGGTAGTCTTAGAGATAGTCTGGAGTGATAAGCCAGCAGAGGATCTGAAGGGTGGCGAGAGAACAGGGCCACCTCACAGCAGGAGGAGATGAAAGATGTCCTCAGGGTGTCCAGTTCCTGACAGGGTCAGCCCCAAGCCACCAGGATCTTCTTAATCAACCTTCATTTGGGCTCTCCTCCTGGGTGTGTCACTGCTAATCGGGAATGGTACCACAGCAGCCAACAGCAGACATCAAAATGACAGCTAGCACGACAGCTGACTATAGTTACAGTTGACTGCACTGCAGCCCCTCATGGATCTTGCCAGGGCACTAAGAGGATGATCTGCATGGATGCCTGCATCTGGCTGCATGGAAGCTTCCCCGGTGCCTCAAAACCAGCCCCTCATATGGGATGGAAAGTGAGGCACAAAAGCAGAAAAACTGATGGACACACCGAGAGACTTCTCAGAGGAAGACTCCAACAGCAGGACCTTACCTTTGATGATGTCTGTGTCTTCCAGTGGCAGCTTCCACAGCAGCTTGTACTTGCTGGCTGTATCGATGACGCTGGCGGCTGTGTACCTGTGGGTAGCCAATGGGGTGCTCTGGCTGGGGCAGGGAGTAGAGCCCACACCACATCGTCGGCTCTCCTGCCTGCACCACCCAGCCCCACCCTGGCCACTCACAGGCTCATGGAGCTGCGCCGGAGGGAGCCCGACTTCCGTTTCAGGGTGGTACAGACTATCAGGTCTGTGAACAGGAAGAGGGATCGGTCCTTCTTGCCTCCAATTGCCTTCTGTAGGGTCCAAAGTGGGATTCCGGCTGAGTGTGCAGAGTTCAGGGGTCTATCCATTACTACCCTAGTGCCCACAGAGGCAGGTCCCGGGGAGGGGGGAGGGCTCTACTCATTTACGTGGAGTCAGGACTCATACAGGGCCCCCGTTGTGGTGGGGTAAGAGCAGGGGCTTGAGGAAGCAGGCGCCAGACAAGTGAACTGAGGTGCGTGGAGGGCACGTGGGGAGAGCAGCCAGGTTTACTCCTTACCACTTCAGCAACCATCTCCTGCCTCAGGAACCGCCGCAGGGGAGCCTGGAGCTGTGGGGTGGAAGGAACAGCGGGTCTTAAAAACTAGCTATCAATCCATTAACCCTGCAGTGATGGGTTGGCCCCCTCTACGAGCGAGGTCAGCCAGAAGAGCATCCTGTCCTCTCCTGTGCTGCCAGGCCAGAGACACAAGGTCAGACGAGGAGGAGGAGGAGGACCCAGAAGGGTGGGGCACTGTGGTCACAGAAGCAAATACACCACAGCCCCCGACCTAGACACGGATGGCCGCAATCCAGGTGACGGGCGCAGAAACAGACAGGGGCGAGGCAGGGCGGGGCACGCACATCCTCCATGCCCTCGATGTGGGCCTCGATCTCCTGCAGCACACGCGCATGCCGCTCCGCCTCCTCGGCGCTCCGCACGCCCTTGTTGATGCGCTCGGCCACCTGCTTGATGTTCCGCTGGGCGTCCAGCAGGAGGGGGTGGTCTGGATGGTCTTCCGGTGTGTGCTTCAGCAGGTCCTGGGGTGGGAATGGGGATCTGCTTAGCTGCCTCAGGGACATGAAACAGACTGCTGCAGCAGGAGAGACCACACATAGGCATCGAGGGGACTTTCCTCCCCGCCTGGAGTCTGAGGACAGACATCCCCCACCCCTCCACGCCCCCACGCCCAACCACGCCTACCTTGACTAGAAGCTCATAGCGTGGGATTCTCTGCACAGGCTTGATCAGGAGGTCAGACAGCGCCTGCTTTTCCTTGTTCTCACGCATGCTTTGCTGAAACCCAAGGCAGAGTGGAGTTTCCGTGTGCGGAACCGTGTGCCAGGAAGACACAGGCCCCCAGCAAGCTCCTCCAGCTGAGCCCAAGGGCAGAGGTGACACATCTGCCAGCTCCACACGCTCTGGGCAAGAGCTCTGGGGATGCCCCAGAGCTAGCCCGAGGTGAGCTGGCCCATCCCGGGCCACATACCTCCAAGAACTTGAGAAAGGCTGGCCTCGCCTCCTTGGCTACGCGCACAGCATCCTTCGCATTGAGGAAGTTATCAATGTAGGCCGAGTAGATGTTCACCAAGACGTCTTTGGAGAACTGTGGGTGAGGAGCCGGGTCAGGCAGGCTCAAGTGCCCTCCCCTACGTCCCCACGTCCTAGCTTCCATCTATTTAACTTGAGATGGCCTGGTTTGACCTTCTCTGGCTTTGTCTAAGCGTGTACACCTTGCATGTATGAAGTGGACTGAATGAGCAGGTATGTGTGTGCATACATATGCACATAGTATGTCTCTGGGGTTTGTGTGTAAGCATGCACACATGTGCCTAGATGTGTGCTGAGCCCAGACCTTTTGTTTTGTTTGTTTGTTTGTTTTGTTTTTTAAACTTCTGCACAGTCTCCAACCCCATCAAATCAGCCAGGCAGGCCTCACACCCTCCTTGTGGTGGGCGTGAACTGACCCATCCTAGCTTCTGGGACTGCCTGCGAGGTTGTTCCTCCACCAGGAAGACCCCTCCCAACCCAATCAGCCCCCCCGGGCACTGGGCACCGGGCTGCAGCCTGCTCTCATGGAATGCACCCGCTGCCTGATAGGGGGCTCTCCCGGCACAGCGAAGCCTGGCTCAGGGCAGGGTACATGCTGGTGCCCGTCCTGCTGGTTGGCTGCTGGTAGGAGCTAGGTCAGGGGACCTGGACAGCTGGGTTCCTGTCTCAGCTGCACCAAGCACAGGCCAAGATTACAGCATCCCTCATTCTCTAAGGTGCCAGCTGTGTCTGTCTCTGGACAGGACAGGGCTGAGTCTTCTGCAGCCCTCAGCCAGCATCCGGGTCCAGACAGAGGTTGAGTTCAGTGACACCGAGGGTGGAGACAAGAGCCCTTAACCTCACCCAGTGCCATCAGTTTCCAAGCAGCAAAGGCAAACAGATCTCATAGGTTAAAGCCCCCCACCCCACTCTGCCTCACACCGGGCACATTTAAACATCACATCCCAAAGCAGACACGATTTTTCTGTTTGTTTGTTTAAGACAGGGTGTCACTATGTAACCCTGACTGGCTTTAAACTTGCTAGTGGACCTTTTTAATTTTTTTATTACTTAAAAAAATTTTTTTTTTGGCTCATAGAATTTTCTGGGAGGATTCTCTTCAGTTTTGCTTTTACAATTATGTAGCTCTAAGTAACAATTTATTTGAGTTTGGCTATGACTTATCAGTCATCATCAAGAATTCCTGGACACTGAAAATGTAACTTAAAAGTTTTTCAATATAATTAAACTTACATAAAGAAGTACCAATTTAAGAAGAAATAACATGTTATATTTGCAGTAGTTTAAGGAAATGATTTTTTTGGCTTTTTTTTGAGACAGGGTTTCTCTGTGTAGCGTTCACTGTTCTGGAACTCCCTCTGTAGCCCAGGCTGGCCTCAAACTCACAGAGATCTGCCTGCCCCTGCCCCCTGGAGTGCTGGCATTAAAGGCGTGCCACCACCACTCATCTTTGTTGTCGTTTTGTTTTTAACTTTGCCTTTGTGGTTCTTTTGGAGTTCTGAGGACCACTGAAGGACCTCAAAAGGCTCATGGGATGGTATGGCTCCTGAGATGATGACTGGGCGCCAGGGCCCCACTACGTCACTGTGTAGGATAACGCCAGCCTGTAAAAAGCACCGGAGGGCATTCAGCCAGAGAGCGGTGAGCGGTAGAGGCCGCATCCGTGTGAGGCCTTGAAGCAGAGCCAGCTACCAAGCCCGGGTCCCAGCCCCGGCCCACGGCTGCATCCGCGCAGCGGGTCACTCACCGACTGGACGAGCAGAGCCCCCACCTTCTGCTGGGCGTGCCACGTCTGCACGCAGTGCCGCACGTGCTCCAGGAACTGCTCATGGTGCTCCAGGAGCTCGGGGATCTGGCCGAAGACTTCGTCCACCAGAGAGGGGTCGCACAGCAAGGAGTTCTCTGGCTGCTTCAGCGGCTGCATATAGCCCTGCGGGACCACGGGGTCAGGGCACCTTCCCACAGAGGTGGCCCTCACCCGCCGGTCATCACCCTGGCCTGCAGCTCAGGGCTTGCCACTGAGACCAGGAGCTCAGCAGTGGGAGGAAGACTGTGTCCCCAAAACTGCGCTCAAAGGGGGAGAGGGGTGCAGGAAAGTACGATGGATGCCTAAAAGGGCTTGGAGGGAGGAAAGCGGGAAGATGGGAGGGTGGATGCTCTCCAGGAGACCTCATCAACACGATAAATACTTATTGGGTAATTACTACACACCAGGCACTGCTTCAAGAGCCAGAACACATCAACGAACAAGAAAGGCCCACTCGGAAGTAGACACTTGTGCTCTCAGTACTAAGGAGGCTGAGGCAGGGGGATCACCACAAGTTCAAGGCCAGCCTGGGCTACACAGTGAGCCCTTCTCTGGAAAAAAAAGTCAATAAGAAGACCTAACATAGCTTACATGTAGTGAAATAAAACACACAAATGAAAAGAGGCTAGAAAAAACAAACAACACCACATTTCACCCAATCTAAGGTTTGCCATTATTTTCAGTTACTTTTTAGGGCTTAAAAAAATCCCGACACCAATTAAGTTAGGACATGCTACCTATTATACGACCAGCCCCGGGTTGTTGAAAAGAGAAGGCCTTCCCTCTCAGGACCTACTCCACGAGAAACTCGGGGTCTAAGCTTAACTGGTGACAGGCGGGGCACTGGAAGCCATCTCTGAAGTCCCTGGAGGCCTGAACGGAATACTAGTTTAAAAGTTTTTGTATCTCCTGGGCAATCTGTGAGTAAAATTTCTGTTTTTCACGAGTCTGCCTTTAGTGGTACTTCCTAAGCATAAACAGCCCCTCCGTTGGCATTCTCATGGAGAGATCGCCCTCTACTGGCCCATGCTGCAACTGCAGGCCAAAAAAATGAAGGCGTGTTGTGAAAAGACATATGCGATGTTACATTCATAAAATAACATTTATATTAAACATTTAAAAAATCTGGCTTGTTTTGTAAAACAAACTTGAAAAAGTCAAGCTGAACGGGATTCTCTTGGCTGGCTGAGAAGTCTGAAAAGGCTCAGGGTGACTGAGTAGCTAGCGGCTGGCCTCATACAGAGCTCTCTGGCCAGCGGAAGCCGGCACCCTGCCGGCCCAGGATCTGTTCCTGCTGGAGCAGAAGTGGCGCTTCTGTGGGTCACCCTGCAGAGGAGCAGGCACGCGGTGGGAGCCACGAAGCCAAGCAGGGGCAGACACGGAGTGTCAGAAATAAACCAGCAGGGCCAGGCATTAACCTCAGCAGGAGGATCTTGAGTTCGAGGGAGTTAGAGGTCTACAATACGCCAGAAGGGACTAGGGGCTCTGAAAACAGGAAGTTTGAGGATGCAGGGGGCCAAGGGGAGAAAGGCTGCTTAGCAAAAGGCAGTGTCTTAGCTGAAAATATCAGGGTTCAAGACAAGACTCAAGGATGGGGTGAAACCCAGGAAAAGGGTATAGATGTAGGGTGGCCTGGGTTCAAATCCTACCTCCCCTGGCTGCCTTTGCATGCGATTCCTTTCTGTTATTTTGTTTGTTTTTGTCTGAACTGGCTAAATAGTCCAGCCTGGCCCTGAACTCCTGATCCTCTTGTCTCCCACTCACTCAGTGTATGAGATGCTCCGTACATCTCTCCTGAGATACTCATTTGGGGCAGGTGCTGTCAAGATCCCACTCTACAGCAGGGCAGGTGAGGCACAGCTGAGCCCATGATCTGGTCCAGGTTCCGCAGCTGCCCACAAAGCGAGCAAAGCCTGAGCCCTGGAGTCACGCTCCAGAGCCCTGGGAAGGCCCGCCTTCTTCATCCACACTCCTGGCTGCGGCCCCCACAGCCCTTCGGTTCAGGTGATAGTCTCCTGCTCACCTCTAGCTCTCCCCTCTCACCCACTGCCTGCAGCTCCAGTCCTGCTTGCCTCGTAGGGCCCAGGCCTGCCTGCTCTGAGTTCCACGGCTCCTTCTCCCTCCCAACAGGCATGAGAGGCAACACCAACTTCATCTTCACCCGAGAGAATACACGAACAATGTCATTTTGCTGGTCACACCAAGGCTCAGAGAAGCGAAGACACTCAGACTCCTACCCCCCGGCAGGAGAGACACTCAAAGCCAGGGCTGTCTGACCATTCTGCCTCCAGCTCTCATGAGGGGATGGCAGTGCGCCTCTGCCCTGGCTACTCTCCCTGTCCCACATCCTGGGGATCCCTCCTCAGGTTTTCCCGTGCTTGCAGGAGACCGAAGCCCTTGCCTGGCTTCCTGTCGTTCTCCTTGGCGGCCATCCTGGCTACTTCTGGTGATGACCGTGGCTCCTCCACTGCCTGGTCTCTGCTTTTGTTGTGTCCTCTGCCTGTTCCCCTCATCGGGCTTGCTGGACACCCCGAACCCAGGGTGATGTTTCCCAAACCCACACATCAAGGAAGTCCTCACTTTATGTTCTTATCCCTACAGACATTTTTAAAAATGTATAAAAATAGAGCAATGGGGGGGCTGGAGAGATGGCTCAGCGGTTAAGAGCACCGGCTGCTCATCCAAAGGACCCGGGTTCAATTCCCAACAACCACATCATGGCTCATGACCATTTATAATGTGATCTAAAGCCCTCTTCTGGCCTGTAGGTGTACTTCCAGATAAAGCACTCACTTAAAAAAAAAATCTTAAAACAAAACAAAACAACAACAACAAACAGAGCAATGTATTTCTTTGTGGTAAAATATACAAAGGCTACAATCTGTCCTTGACCAGTTTCTTTCGTTTGTTTCTGAAATAGGTCCCCATGAATTCCCTTGAGTTATCTATTAGTCAAAGACAGCCTTGTGTTTTTGATTCTCTTGCCTCTGCCTTCTGAGTGCTGGGCTTCCAGGTATGGACCACCACGCCTGGTTTATTATGCGGTCCTAGAAATCAAACCCAGGGCTTGCACACTAGATAAGCACTCTTTTGAGCTACATCCCTAGCCCCAATTAAATCAGTTTGAAGTGTTCAGATTAATACACACACATTTATACTGTCGTGTAAATACCCGCTTCATCTCCCAGCTGACAACTCTGGACCACCGAGAACTGGAACACCAACTTCCTATGTCCTCCTTTCCCAGCCTCGGCTTCCCTGGGGACCCTGCCTCCACCATTTCACTTTCTATCTCTGGAAGCTTAACTCCTCCGAGCACCGTAGAATGCACAGCATTGCTTGTTAGGTGAGTGGCTTATTTTACTTAGCAGCATCCTCCGTGTCCTTCAGTGCTGTAGCGTGTCAGAGTCACCCTCCTTTTCAAGAGGAGTACTACCCACATATGGACGCACACCCTTGAATTCTGTGTCACCATCTGTCATCAGTAGCGACCTGTCTGGCTGGTGACTACTACTCTCCGGAATAGCCCATGAGCTGCAGGGAACAGATTCGTGTCCCTCAGACTCTGCTGACTGGTGACCCCTGCACTGCCCAGAGAGCAGTGTTTGGTCTATAGAAGGGCTCTGTGCAGCCTTGTGAAGGGGTAGAAGGAGGGTTGGCTCTGGATAGCTCCTGGACTCTACTTCACCCTGAGCTGTAGCGGCTTGAATAAGCTCATCTTTAATTGTGCTCGTGGGCCCCATTTCAGCACACACACCCAGGCTCTGGCCTCAGTACCTGCAGAGCTGAGCTCTGCTCGTTATCCTGCCATAGATGCACCCCTCCCCCCTCTGTGCTTCACCTCTCCTGGGCCAGGAGCCCGGCAGAGCCCTGCCTTCCTGCTTCATGCTCCAACACCTGGCATAGCCATCTTCCCGCTTCATCCCCCCACGGCCCCCAGCCCCCAGTTCCTACAGCCCACCTGACCTGAGCAGCTCGCCTGCTGAGTGTCTGTCCCCCTTTGTCCCTCTTATAAATCTGTGCCCTTACTAGAACTCTGCAGCCCTGGCCCAGCCTACTCTTCCCCACCCATCTTTTCAGCAGACACACAGACTTCCTGACAAACATGCCTACCTGTCTCAAAACCCTCTGATGACTCTCCAAGAGCCCCATTGTGGTCCAAATCCTTCTCCTGGGGCTCAAGGACCCCATGGCATGACCCCTGCTGGCTCCTGCAACATCGCCAAGAACCAGCCCCTCATACTCCATCCCTTGTGTCTCTCTCAGTGCCTGGTCAAGCCCTCTGCAGAAGCTATCCCCACGGTGCCTTCTCTAGGGAGCTTTCCCTGATGGCACTCTGGCGAGGCATTTTTTCATGCCTCTAGAGCAGTGGTTCTCAATCTGTAGGCTGTGACCCCCACAGGGTCGCTTATTAGATATCCTGTATATCAGACATTCGTGTGACAGTTCATAAAAGCAACAAAATTACAGTTATGAAGTAGCAACAAATTTTTTGGTTGGGTGTCACCACAACGTGAGGAACAGTGTTAAAGGGTCGCAGCACCAGGAAGGTCGAGAACAGCTGCTCTAGAGTGTCCTACATACTGAGCAGGGTTTCCCTCATCCTTGCGCTTCCTGTATCTGGACCAGGGTCTGCCCACAGCAGACACTCAGGATTTAATTCCAGTCACAGAGAGGGCACGATCAAGGAGGCGCACCGCTCAAAACCGGGGTCCAGGGCTGCTGAGGAGACACAGAGCAATGGTGTAGAGGCTCCTGCTCCGCCCAGGAGCCTCTACTCACCCCTACCCTGCAAGAGGTGACCTCTTCCTCGGGGGTTCTCCACATGCAGGTGTATGTCAGGGTCACAGCTCTCTGGTCTCTGTCCCTGTCCACATGGGTGACCCCACCTGTCTGCTGCCCACACTTGGACTGTTGCTCTCAGGCCTAGGCATGGGCCTCACCTGCATTAGGGTGCGCAGGGACTCCACATATGACTGCTCTGTGTCCAGCAGGGTCATGGTCACGTGCTTCCTCATGTCCTGTGGGGAGAGAAGTAGAAGGTGAGTGGTCTTTTGCTCCCCTCAGCCTCTGCCACCTGCAGCTCCATGCAGACTCATCCGCTCACACACGGAGTCCATCCGATCCTTCTCCTGGCCTTCCCTGCCTGCTTCCTGTCCATTTCCCCCCCGAGAATCTCCCCAAGCATCCTGAACCTGGCAGGCCTTCTCCTAGGTGTTCTCTGCTTCCTCCCAGCTGATCCCTGTTTTCCCACCCCAACAGGTTCTGGACAGAGACGGAAAACTAACAACAATAAACCTCCACAGTTACAAAGGAAGGTGCCTCCTGGCCACACCCACTCTAGAGACCGACTCTGAACGTGCCAAGCTCCAGCTTGCTGCTAGGAGGACATGTCTGACCCGGCTGTGTGTCACAGCATCCCTCAGCGTGACGCTGTCACTTCCTGCTTTAAAAAGAAGACACTGCAGCCCAGGGAGGGAGAGCTGGTGCTAGGCGCTGCAGCGCTGGAAGCGTCAGGGTTCTAACAAGGCTGGACCCCAATGCTAAATGAAAAGGTTAGAGTCCCTTCCGGACACTGTGTGTTCCCAGCCCTCTAGGCCACCTGTGTGGTCCACAGTCTCTCCACTTCTTCTTTCTGGTTGTGTACATTTGTGTGTGACAGGGATCTGTGTGCTCATGTGTTCAGGTCTGCTCTGGCATGTTGTGGACGCAAGAGAGCAACGTTAGGTGTCTTCCTAGACTGCTCTCCACATTAGTTAATTCATTAATTTACTTACTTTTCCACACAGAGTTTCTCACTGAACCTGGCGCTCACTGTTGCAGCTGGCCAGGGAGCTCAGAGATGTGCCTGTCTCAGCTCTCTAGCACTGGGGTCACAGACGCACACTGCTGGGGTCACAGGCACACACAGCTGTGCCCAGAACAGCTCTTACAGTTCTGGGAACTGTCTTCGTGCTTACCCTTCAGGCCTCTTTCTCTTTTTGGGACAGGGTCTTCTATAGACATGGTCTTACTCTGCAGCTCAGGATGGCTGGGCCTCCCTCCTGCTGCGGGGCCATCCCACCACGCCCAGCTTCTTTCTCACTTTTCCTTCCGGCTGTGGTAAGCTTACCTCAGTGCTGCTCCTCTGACCCTGGAATTGGGGGCTCAGTCTTGTCCCTCAATAACTGGCCAGGAGGCACACTCAGAAGTGGACTCCCACACTGGGCTCTACTGAGGCATGGGTGACGCCTCCCTGGGACACTCCACCTCTGCAGGCTCTGTGCAGTGCTGTGTTCCTCAGGCCCTACCTCAGAGACCTCGACTTCGAGCAGACCATTTACACTGCATGCTTCTGGGGCCCTTAAAAACAACGCAGCTTTGGGGCTCCCACGTCCAGTCCTGGGCTGGCAGCCCCCAGATACCTCAGCACCTCACAAGTGTGTGCAACTCATTTCAGCCCTGCACAGCCGTTGTCATCCACTGTACAGATGACAGAAGCCATGAAAGCCAGAGAAGTGACATGACGTGCCCAAGATCACATGGCCAGGGACAGACAAAACCAGGCCCAGGGCCTCTTCAGACACCTCACGTAGAGCCTTAGGGCGCCGGCACCCTATGCTCCCATTTACCAGAAACCTCGGGCCACAGAGCTCCCCAGCGCTGCTCTCCCTGCTGTGCGACTTCAGCGGCCCGGCGGCCACACTCTCTTATGACATGGAATCAAAACCCTTTGCTCCTGGTACTGATGGAGAACAGGGAGGCTGTCCACACGTACCCAGTGATTCCACGTCGCTGAGACTTCCCAGGAAGTTCTCTGATTGACTGCAGGACAGCCAGACCAGGCTTTGGCTCTCACCGCTACTGTTCCCTGCCCACACCCACTGGCCAGCCAGCCCCAACCTGGGTCCTGGGCAGAGGAGTTTCCTGTGAGGCACGGCTGGCACTGGGCCTGCTGGCTGGGAGGCTGGGGTGGCAGAGGGAGCTGACGCTGCAATGCCGCCTCTCCCAGCCTCCTCCCTGCTGCAAAGCACAGTGGGCTGTCATTCAGCTGTCAGGTACGGCACAGAAAACAAGGCCAGCTCCTTGTCACCGCATGGAGCACCCTCTGCACGTGTCCGGACACGGGAGAAGCAGGGGTGGGGGCGGGGAAGCTGGAGATGGGGGGACAAGGCAGCTGTCCGCCAGATCAGCAGGCCCACCTGTTTCTGGCTGGCCAGCCCTTCAGCCTGCTTTCCTCCAGATCCCCTCAACCCTCAACAGCTACAGACAGGCCCCTGGCACGGGGACATGGGGAACCCAGTGTGGGGGAAGGTGGTCACGGCAGGAAGATGGTGAGGGCAATTCTCCTATCATTCAACCCAAAACCTCAGAGCCTGGTGTACCAAGCATGAAGAAAGACACGCAGAGAGAAGCCATGAAAGCCAGATTCCCTGCATCAAGACACAAATGCTGGCTAGATATCCCGCTGCGAGCTAGGCCCTCCTGCCCAGAGACCTGGAGCAATGGAGACACATACACACGACACAGTACAGTACCCGGATTAGGGCAGAGCCCTAGTCCCCATTGTGCCCAGAGCATGGAACAGAGGCTGGGCCCGGACAAACACACAAAAACAAGGCAGCATCCCTGGACTCTGCCCCCGCCCCCTCCAGAAAGGCAGAGGGGGGCAGGGATGGGAACACCACCTTTCCCACAGCATGACATCTCCAGGCTCTGTAGTTCCAGTGGGGAGATGGCAAAGGGAAAGCTATGCTGACTACCCCCAGCACATACACACAGCTGGGACCCAGCAACCCTGAGGGATGCTAGAAAACTGGCTTTCCTGGGGACCCAGGGTGACCCAGAAACAAATTTGCTTTCACCTGACGCACTTGACAAAAGTACTGTCCTGGGCCTTGACCCTTAATGCCCAGCCAACCCCACCATCGCAGCCAGGGCTCCTCAACGCTAACCTCTGCCTTCCCCTGAGGTCAGCACCCCCCAAGCCCAGGGTTGGCAGGCAGGCAGGCTCCTGACGCCTGATCCAAGTTCCAGGCCCTGCTCTCCAGCATCTGCCCACGCTTCCCCCCATCTCCTGGGTCTGCAGCATCCTAGGTTTCCTGCTGCCCCTCCCCTTCTTCGTACCTGGGCCTCCCCCGGCTCCTCAGCGGTGTCAGAGCCCCCGCCCCCGCCCCCGGCGGACTCCCCGGAGGCGGCGGCCGGGCCCAGGTCGCGCATGTCTTCCAGCGCGATGGTGAACTGGGCCAGGGTCTTCACCATCTGAAGCATGCGGCCGGGCCGCCGCCGGGGCGGGGACTGTGCAGAGTCGGAGAGCCCCCTCCCACCCGCGCTCCTCGGGGGCCCTCAGCCCCGCCGCGGTGGCGGTGGCGGCGTCCGTCAGCAGCAGCGTCGGTGTGAGCGCAGCCGGCGGTGGCGCTGCCGCCTCCTCCGCGCAGGGAGCGCGCAGCGTCGCAGTGAGAAGAGTCCCGCCCTCTGCGCGCCTCCCCTTCTCCCGCAGCAAGCCCAGCGCCGCGGGACATCGAGCCCCGCCTCAGGACACAGTCTCTCTCTCTCTCTCTCACAGACACACACACACACACACACACACACACACACACACACACACACACACACACACACACACGTCCACTGCTGTATCTAGGTCAGGGTCAAGTGCACTCGCATCAACAGCGTCACCATACAGATATCAAACTCTGACGCCCATGAGCCTGACCCGCCTCCGCTCACAGTGACGCGGACTTCAACAACTACAGCATGGCAGGGACAGGCACCCACCCATGAGGGCATCAAGTGTGGACTGCTGGCAACCCCACTGGCCCCGGCTCTGGGAGGGGGCTCGGGTTCACTGAGTCACCGCTAAATCAACCACCACCTCACCCGGCCTAGTACCTGGCTCCAGCCCTGCTCCCTTCCAGCCCTCTCCCCATGGCCCTCCCTGGGGAGGGCCTCCACCCAACTCTCTGGGGTTTGTTTAAAGGTGATCCTCCTTCCTCGAATCCCAGCACAAGCACAGAACCTACCCCAGGACCCACTTAAGAAGACTGGGGTGCAGTGAGGAGGTTCTGACACCAGCTCCCACTGGGACTAGGAAGGGGTCCTTACACCTGCAGCTGTGACCTAGCCCTGGTTAGCGCCACCTCTTTGAACTTTGGGGTTCCCGCGCTCACCAAACTCACTCTGCATCCAACTTGTTCTCTCTGGGTTTCCTGGGCAATGGGACCTCCACACCCCAGCCAGCCTTATCTTTGTCCCCCGCCCCTACACCTTTCTTTGTTGCACCCTAGAAAAGACACCTCTCCCTAGCTTCGGGGCCTCCACCTAAGCCTTTTCCCTCCCCTAGCAATCAATGCCTTTCCTTTAAGACACAAATGTCACCTCTTCTAGGAAACCCTACTGGGTCTTCAGATTAGGTCCTGTGTGCCTATTCTATGTTCTCCAAGATCCTCAGCTTTCTTTTCTTAACCACAGACAGTCTGTAATGGTACATTTGAAGAATGACTAGATCGATGCCCAGGAGACTGCTGGCTCCCTGAGGTAAGGGCCCGAGGCACTGAATGCATGTAAGAGCTGGTCAGTAGGCCTCATAGAGCCCTGCTTCCCCCTTGCCAGCCGGCCTTTGTAAGTTTCCTGGCATTCATTCAGCACCCTCTATCCAGCCCTGCTTCCTCAGCCCCTCCACACCCAGTGCTAAGGAATTCTTTTTAAAAGACCTATTTCTTTCTAATTTATAGGAATGAGTGTTTTGCCTGCGTGTGTGCCTGCCTGGTGCCCGGATACCGGAAGAGGGTATTGGATTCTGGCCCCTGAACCAGGGAGCCCTGCTAAAGAAGCAAGTACTCCTAACTGCTGAGCCATCTTTCCAACCCAGGAACGGTTGTTTTTTAACACTTCCTCCAAGGTCTCATGCAGCCCAGGGTGGCATTGAACTGCCTGTGTAGTGGAAGGTGGTCCTGAACCTCTGACTCCGCTGTAAACAACGCCCCAGTTCTGGGATTACAGGCATGCACTACCAAGCCCACTTTGTATCATGCTCCCAGTT